GGGGGGAGAGAGAGAGAGAGAGAGAGAGAGAGAGAGAGAGAGAGAGGATGAAGGGATATGCTCCAAAGGTCTATAGCCATGTATAGATGGTGGCTGGACAAACTGCCCCCATGACACCCAAGGACAAGACATTAAGTTCAGCAGAAGCTGGGTTTGGTTGTACAGATCTATAATCCCCAGATACCTGGGAGGCTGAGAAGCAGGAGGAACACAAGTTCAAGGCCAGCCCGAGCTACAAAATGAGTTCAAGGCCAGTCTGGGCAACTTAGACTCCATCTCAAAATTTTAAAAAGGAAGAAAGAAGAGGAGAAGCCTGGAGGTAAAGCTGGACCAGCATGGGTTAAACCCTAGGTTCCATCTCCTGTACTGAAGCAAAAACAAAGACAAAGCACATGTTGGCCTGTACTCAGCTACTCCGGAGTCTCAGTCTTGAGGATACCCCAAGCCCAGAAGATCCCAGGAGTTCAAGGCCAGCCTGGGCTGCATAGCAAGATTCCTAAAAAATTATTATAATAAAAGAAAGTTTTCTGGGCCATTAAGATGGCTCAGCAGGCAAAGGTGCCTGCCACCAAGCCTAATAACCTGAGTTCTATTCCCAGACCCACAAAGTGAAAAGAGAAAATTGAGTCTTTCAGTTGTCTCTGACCTTCACAAATGCAGGGTTACACTGGTGCACACACATGCATGCACACACACAGATAAATGTAATTTTAATTTTTTAAAGTTATTCAAAACATAAGAGAGGCCACACCCACAGTCACCAGAGACATTTCCAAATTGATTATATTCAGCAACTTTGCGCTTCGCAAACTGTATATGAAGCTCTAATCTCTGTCAATGAGAGAACTGTATTATTCTAGAAAAGAGACAGTGTCCTGAAGCCCAAAGGACTGAACACCCTTGTCCTAGCTTAGACCCATGGTTGTGTGCCCCCCAAAGGCTCCTCCCATGTAAAGAGCCCAAGTCCTTTACAGACTGAAGAAAGCAACACCCTCTGGAAACAAAATTAAGTGGAAATTATACTTGAGTCAAAAAAAGACTGAGTGTGGTGGCCCATATTTGGAGGCTGACATAGCAGGACTGGGAATACCAGACTAACCTTGACTATTGGTAAAGCTATCCTGGGTTACTTATTAGATTTCTCACCACCACCTCACAACAAAAAAACAAAAAACTGTGAACAAATAATTAATACACACACACAATTTGCAGAGAGAAGCCAGGCTCTGTCCTGGTTTTGGATGTAGCATTTTGGATGTAGCTTTCTCTAGCTGTAGCATTCTCACCACTGGGCTCTTGGGCAGCAGGATCCTGCCCTCCCAGTCTACTGGAGAAGGATGAAGGTAAGGTAGTCATTGCAAAGGATGGCTTAACCAGGAGGAAGTCTCTCTTCCCCTAAGATGTCCAGAAAGACTTCCCAGAGGAGTCTGGGGGTCTGAAGGGTCAGTAGCATTTCCCCAGTGTGGACCAAAGAACCCCACATAAGTGCTGTTAGAAAGTTCAGGGGTCTCAAGTACGTTTAGATGAGTAGGGGTTGGAGAGATAGACTGGCAAGGGACAAAGCTGCAAAGCTGCCAGGATATAACAAAGAGTGAGTGGCAGCCTGGACATTGTGGTACAGTGACTAGCTGGGTGAGATACTTTCAAGACAGGAGGCTAGGTCACATGACTAGTGGGTTAGAAGATCCTAGGTTGCAGTGGTAATGGATCAGAGACTGGATTTGAGGAGAAATATTTTGTCACCTGGATCTGCCCTGGAGGGGTCACTACTTTGACTAGCTCATTCCAAACCCCCAGCTATGCAGGAGTAGACAGAGAATGCTGGCGATCAGGAGATCAGGTGGCCCTATTTAGGAAGGGCCACCACCCCAACTCCCTCCTGTCCCAGAGAAGTCCCCCTTACCGGAGTTGCTGGGCTCATGGTTCCTGTCGGTCACAGCAGCATTCCCAAGAAGGTGCCAGCAGTGGGGCTCTGCTCTGCAGCCTCAGATAAAGGGATCAGGAAAGAGCTACCAAATGCTCCCTGAAGGAAGAGCAGGGAGTGAGCCACACTGGCCCTAAAGAAAGTCGCCTCCTCAGTTTTCCTGACTGAGATCGCCTCTGCCCTTCAGTTCCTGGTCAAGTCACCTGGTGATTCCGAGGTGGTGTTGACCTAGGTCTCCAAGATAGAATTGGGAGGAGAGTGGGATAGATAAGACAGACAAGGGGCAGAGTGGGTTCTCTGCCCTAGTGTAAAGTGCAGCTAAGTCTTTATTCTGAGGCTACAAGACTGTGCCCATCACCCCAGCCCTGGCTGTGCAGCCAGGCTCCTTAAGCCTCCCTTCTTGGCTCTTTAATCTTGACCCAGAGCCATCCCAGGGCTCCAGCCTTCCGTGCAGTGCGTGCCTCTCTAGAGGATTCACCACAATAGATCCTATTAGCCGATGGCTTACCTCCTTTCGGTAGGCCCAGGAGCAGCCACCCTTCCAAACCTCCCTGGTTTTCATCTCTGTGTCTTCAACGCATTCTCTGGTCTCCGGAAAGTCCTAACCTACCCAACTCTTACTTCTCTGCACCCTGTAGCAGGGATGGGAGGAAGGAGGGAAAGAAAGGAAAGGAAGAAAAAGGCGAGAAGGGAGGTAGAGGGAAGGAGGAGAGTGGACAGAAACGGGGAGGAAGGGAGACAAGGAGCTGTTTCTCCCTGGGACCCTTAGCCGGTTAAACTGCTAAAACACTGTTATATTCGCTGTTACTGTTGATGATAATGAATGAAGTTCTCACTTAGTCGCTCCTTTTGATGTTCTCTTTCCTGTTTGGGGGTAGGATGATCTGACTCCCTCCCTCATTAGCAGCTCTTTTTTTTTTTTTTTTTTTTTTTTTTTTTTTTTTTTTCTCAGACTGAGTCAACAGCCAGGAGGACAAGCCTTATGCTGCTGCAAACTGGTCTTGAAGTCTCCACAGTGGGCTTGAAAAAAGTGCGCAAGGTAACAGCTGATGACGCCAGCTCCTGAAAGCAGCTTCGGCCTAGGCTGCTTCCAGTAGTTTGGATTACAAGGCACGGTGAACTTTAGATGAACCGGCTACGACGTCTGTCTCCATCTACACGAGAAGAAACACGCCCCCTGGCGGCCTTACGGAAGGGACTGCTGCGACTGCTCTATAGAGGCAAAGGTGTGATTGGTCCAAAAGTAAAGCACTATTGCTGTGACTGGTACTAAAGAGGCCACTGGTACAAACACGAGGTCTCTGGCTGTGTAAGAGGATCGCTCAGGCTCATCTACTCACTTAAAGGCACATTCCTTCTCTGGTGCTGCACATTAGGCCTAATAGG